TATATGTTAGACTTTGGTAGGAGTTAAATTACTGTATAGGATTTTTTCCTTTAGGAAAGTAGGTGTGTAAATTTATATATGATTTGTGTGTGCCTGATGTATGTATATATATCTTTAAAATAGAAGCTATAGAAAAAGCAAATTGACTATGTAGTCAAAGGTGGGTTGAGATGGTTAGTCTCCTTACCTCCTTGTGCGTTGAAATGAGGTTGTGGTTGCTTGCTGTGCCTATATGTTTCTCTGAGACACAGTCACAAGATCAAGGGCCATATCTTATTGCTGTTGAGACCATCAAGCCCAGCTGAGTGGTTTACACATACTAAGTAAGTGGTCAATGATAGAGCAGGCCAGAATTCTACTTGCAGATTTTTAATTTTTTTCTAATTTAGTGTTTCTTAGCCTTATACTGAGCTCTGTTTGCCATTAGAGGGATTCAGCCAACTCTTGTCCTATTATTTTCCCTGCTAGTTTATTAAAACTCGTTTCTAGCTGGGCACGTTGGCTTAACGCCTATAATCCCAGCACTTTGGGAGGCTGAGGCAGATGAGCTGCTTGACCTCAGGAGTGTGAGACCAGCCTGGGCAGCAGAGTAAGACCCCATCTCTCCAAAAAAATTAGTCAGGCATGGCTGGGCATGGTAGCTCATGCCTGTAATCCCAGCACTTTGGGAGGCCAAGGCACACAGATCACCCGAGGTCGGGAGTTTGAGACCAGCCTGACCAACGTGGAGAAACCCCATTTCTACTAAAAATAGAAAATTAGCTGGGCGTGGTGGCACATGCCTATAATCTCAGCTCCTTGGAAGGCTAAGGCAGGAGAACTGCTTGAACCCAGGAGGTGGAGGTTGTGATGAGCCAAGATTGTGCCATTGCACTCCAGCCTGGGCAACAAGAGCGAAACTGTGTCTCAATAAATAAATAAGTAAAAGTAAGTAAGTAAGTAAGTAAAGTAAGGCCTGCTCGCATGCGCCTGTGGTCCCAGCTACTCAGGAGGCTGAGGCAGGAGGATAGCTTGAGTCTGAGAGGTGGAGGATCTTGGCAGTGAGCCGAGCTTGTGGCACTGCATTCCAGCTTGGCTGACACAGCCAGAACCTGTTTCAAAAATAAATAAATAATTAAATTGAAAAAAATAAAAACCTTTTCCAGTGTTAAACTTGTTTTGGAAATTTAACTGGCCAAGTAGTACTAATGGAAAATATTTGAAACAATGATTTATATTACTTTTATGTGATTCATTTAAACTTCCTGATCAAAATATTTATCTGCTGATATTTTGAGTAGGCTTTTTGTCAGATGTACAGAAACACAGTAAGTGAATAAACAAAAGCAGATATTTGATATGAACTTATATTAATGACAAATTTAACCTATATTTTATTGAGGTTTAATGGCAAATGAGTATAAAGCCTCTAATATTTTTCTAAGCAAATTTTACTTATCAACACTAAGCAGCATTTCACCAAAACTCATCATTGCCATCATTATATTAAAAACTAAAAACTACTTTCTTACCAGTCATTTTTTAAGTTTGATTTTCAGCCAGGTGTGGTGATGCATGCCTTGTAGTCCCAGCTATTTGGGAGACTGAGGTGGGAGGATCGCCGGAGCCCAGGAGGTGGAGGCTGTAGTGAGCTGTAATTGCGCCACCACACTCCAGCTTAAGCAATAGGAGACCTTATCTCTAAAATAAAATAAAAATAAAAGTTTAATTTTCCTTAAAGTTTTATACTTGGCAAGTCAAAATAATACAGCCTCAGTGAATTATATGTGTGGTGCATTACTTGTAGTAGACACAGATGCTCAGAGGCGATCAGGTAGTATATTAGGTCCAGAATTAATGACAAGTATGGAATGTTCTACCTTCCTACTCAGTGTATATAATGCAGGGCTCTGAAGAGGGCCCCTAGCCAGACATTTTCTGTGACACTTCTTAACCTTTACCAGAAAGTCAGACTCTAAATGGACATTTCTGGTTTACTCAGTCTGTCACTAAGGTATTATCCCTAATCTGTTCCTTTTAACAAAATTTATAACTTTGTAGCTGAGATCAGTGAATGCTTTTTTCCATCAATTTTTTTTTTTTTTTAAGACAGAGTCTTACTCTGTCACCCAAGCTGGAATGTAGTGACGAGATCTCAGCTCACTGTTATCTGTGGCTCCCAGGTTCAAGCGATTCTTTTGCCTTAGTCTCCTGAATAGCTGGGAGTATATGCACATGCTACCACACCTGGCTAATTTTTGTATTTTTAGTAGAGAAGGAGTTTCACCATATTGGCCAGGCCGGTCTTAAACTCCTAACCTCGTGATCTGCCTGCCTCAACCTTCCAAAGTGTTGGGATTACAGGCCTGAGCCACTGTGCCTGGCTTCCATCAAATTCTTAAACTTACTGTTTACTTCTCCAAGTGTGAAATTCTGTCTTCTGGTGCTTAGGGATTTTTTTTTCTACCTTGAATGTCTCATCTAGATCTATACCTCTTTCCTGACTCAGTTCAAAGTCATTTTCTTTCTGTTTTTTTTTTATTTTTGAGATGGAGTCTTGCTCTGTCTCCCAGGCAGGAGTTCAGTGGTGTGATCTCAGCTCATTGCAACCTTCACCTCCCGGGTTCAAGCAATTCTTCTGCCTCAGCCTCCAGCGTAGCTGGGATTACAGGTGTCCGTCACCTTGACAGGCTAATTTTTGTGTTTTTAGAAGAGATGGGTTCACCATATTAGCCATGCTGGTCCTGAACTCCTGACCTCATGATCCACCTGCCTCAGTCTCCCAAAGTGCTGGGATTACAGACGTGAGCCACAGCACCTGGCTCAAAGTTATTTTCTTCTTTGACTCTTGCCTTCAGTGGTCTCTTTCTCCAGATTTCTATTAACCATAACTGTTTGTTTCCAGGGGCTTTCACTTTGTTTCTATCCTGCAGAGTAGAGGGACCTGATACTGCTTATGCACCACATGGTGGCTGAGACGGGGGTTTTCAGAATGGCAGGGTGTAAGTGAAGTATATGTGTAGTTGAAAGCTAAAACCTGAGGCCAGGAATTAAAATCAGGCTAGTCTCTGATGTGCTTTATATCATTCATACTTCTCGCTTTTCAGATTGTGAAAATACAGCCAGGACCTTGATATCCCTCACTGAGCTTCTGTGTGCTTTTAAATAGGAGTATTTTCCAACTGACAAACATCATTTTGTGTTGGCAGAATTTACGATTTGAAAACACTGTTGGCTGAGCACGGTGGCTCACGCCTGTAATCCCAATACTTTGGGAGGCTGAGGTGGGAGGATCACTTGAGGTCAGAAGTTTGAGACCAGCCTGGCTAACATGGCAAAACCCCATCTCACTAAAACTACAAAAATAAGCCAGGCATGGTGGTGTATGCCTGTAATCCCAGCTGCTTGGGAGGCTGAGGAAGAAGGATTGCTTGAACCCAAGAGGCAGAGGTTGCAGTGGCTGAGATTGCACCACTGCACTCCAGCCTGGGTGACAGCGAGATTCTGTCTCAAAAAAAGAAAAAGAAAAAGAAAAAAGAAAACACTATTATGTGGAGTGTTCAGTCACAAGGTCAGCCTATTTTATCAAAGTGTACCAGCAGAAGATTGTTGTTAGCATATGTAAAATGCAGTCACAATGTACCCTGTTTTATCTATGTGGGATTCATTCACTGTGTGTGTGTGTGTGTGTGTGTGTGTGTGTGTGTGCGCGCGCGCACTCACACAATCAGGGCAAGGTGGTGGGAGCACCCAAGTTTTCTCTTCTATTGCAGTGCCATTTGTTGCAGCATGGTTCATTGTAATTACAGACAATAGGACAGTCTCAAAGAAGAGCATTCATATATACCACACTATGGTATACAGAGGAGAACACTATGCTGTAGAAAGAATGAGGTAGCTCTAAGTAGTACTTGGAAACAGTCTCCAGGAGAGATTCAGGGAAAAAGAAAAACAGCACAGAGCAGCAGACAGCTACCATTTATATAAACAAAGGATGCCTGCTTAGACATGCATAGTCTTTCTCTGGAAGGATGCCTAAGGGTCTGATGCCTCTCAGAAAGAGAGCTGAGCTACTAGGGAATCAAGAGTGTATTCTCATTGACACCATTTGCAATTTTTCTTACTACATTCATAGTAATATTACTTTTTAAAAAATGTCACATTTCCCAGTATCTTGTGCTATATTCAGAAGTAGGATAGCAGTGCCTTGAAATTAATACAGTTTCTCTTGTACCTCTCTTTCCTCATTCTATACTGTTGTGAACAGTGAATATCCATTTGGTTTATAATTTGAGGCAGTAGAAGGAACACCAGCTTGGCAGTCTAATCAGACCTGTGTCTAAATCCTATTGTCTTGTATGATTTTGGGTAAATTACTCAACCTTTGAGAATCCGAATTCTTTCATCTAGGCTATGAGAATGATAATATGTATAGCTCAGATGGATTGTGAGGATTATATGAGAAAATGAACTTAATGAGCTAGCATAGTGATATGGACATGTAATATGAGTTCTATAAATGATTATTTTTATTATAATTGGTGACTAACGTAGTTGTTCAAATTATAAAATCCCTGCTTTCCCCACCACTCTGCAATTGTAACATTCTTGACATTTATATTTCCCCTGCCATGCTGCAGTGGAACATACCTAATTTTGAGGGACTTCTTGGCTCTTAGAGTGTCTTTAAAAATGAAATAGCTTATTTTCCCTTTTTAATCCTGTAAAGCAACTTAAGTAAAAATAAAGTTCTTTGTCTCCCTACTTGTAAATGGGAGTTTACTAATTTCTTACAATTTTTTTTTGTGTAAGTATATTACTGCGTATGTTGAATATTATATGTTATTTACTTATGTAGATACCTATCCATTAAGAAAGCCACAATTTCAAATGCAATTCAATAGTGTAGCACTTTATTCATGTAAATATTATAACACTTTATTCATGTAAATATATTATTTAGATAATGGGTTTTGCGGGTAATGTTTGTTTCCTTTTAAGCCTTTGTATTCCTTTTTCAGCTCTTTCAGTCTCACATGGCAACGAAAACAACTTGTATGTCTTCACAAGAATCTGATGATGAACAGAGAGTGAGTATGTCTTTAAATAGATACTCTAAATTGTACTCTAAATGCTTCTATGATTTTTAAATAACTGCTTGGAGTGTTCATAGACTCTTGTGATAAAGACTTCTGTTTGTAATTACTGTGAACATGAATTAATTTTTCTGTTGCTTCAAGTGAAAAGTCGATGATGGATTGAATAATTGAGTATCCATAATCTGACATTAAGGAAATATTTTTGTTTCTTTTCTGTTTTTTTTTGAAACAGAGTCTTGCTCTGTTGCCCAGGCCAGAGCACAGTAGTGTGATCTTGGCTCACTGCAACCTCTGCCTCCCAGGTTTAAGCAATTCTCCTGCCTCCTGAATAGCTGGGATTACAGGTACCTGCCATCATGCCCAGCTAATTGTTTTGTTTTTTCCTTTGAATTTTTTTGTAGAGATGGGGTTTCACCATGTTGGCCAGGCTAGTTTTAATCTCCTGACCTCCAGTGATCCGCCCACCTCAGCCTTCCAAAGTGCTAGGTTTACAGGCATGAGTCATCATGACTGGCTGACTGGCTGTTTCTTTTTTCATTCGTTATTTGTTTGTTTTTGTTTTTTTAGACAGTGTTACTCTGTTGGCCTGGCTGGAATGTAATGGTGTGATCTTAGCTCACTGCAACCTCTGCCTCCCAGGTTCAAGCAATTCTCATGCCTCAGCCTCCCAAGTAGCTGGGATTACAGGCGTGTGCCACCACACCTAATTTTTGTATTTTTAGTAGAGGCAGGGTTTCTCCATGTCGTCTAGGCTGATCTGGAACTCCTGGCCTCAAGTGATCTGCCTGCTTCGGCCTCCCAAAGTGCTAGGATTACAGGTGGAACCACCATACCTGGCCGTGATTGGTTGTTTGAGCACACTGCAGAATGTGGTGGGTGCATAGAACTCCTGTGAATGGCAGAGTTTAGGGAGCCCTTGGATGGGCCTGCCAGAAGCCTCCCTGATGCAAAATTAGACCTGATGCTTATAAGGGCCTGCAGGGACGGCTTTGGTAATTCATACTGAAATTTGTGTTTAAAAAGAGGAAGTAAATGTAATTTGGTGAAAGAGATGAGTTTTAAACTTTAATTAGAAAGGAAATTACAAATACAAGCATGGGTAATTTAATAAGTTGTTGTTTGTTTTTGAGACAAGAGTCTCGCTCTGTTGCCTAGGCTGGAGTGCAGTGGCACAGTCTCTGCTCATCCAACCTCTACCTCCCAGTTCAAGCAATTCTCGTGCCTCAGCCTCCTGAATAGCTATGATCATAGGCATGTGCCACCACACTCGGCTAATTTTTGTATTGTTATCAAAGACTGGGTCTTGCTCATGTTGGACAGGCTGATCTTGAACTCCTGACCTCAAGTGATCCACCTGCCTCAGCCTCCCAAAGCACTGGGATTACAGGGGTGAGCCACCATGCCTGGCCAGTAATTCAGTAAGATTAAATAATTTCCTTTAGTTCTGTGGTCCAATAACTGTAGTCTTCTTCTTTTTCCTCTTCTCCTTATATCCATGATGTTGATAAATTTTAATTTGACAAACTACCCTCCTTTTAATGTTTTTCTCTCACTGATACTAACAGTCTATTCCATCTTCCTCAGACTTTTTGAATTGTGTTTAATCCTCCAGAGACTACCATTGGAGTCACTAGTAATCTTCAGTGACAAGTCCATCCAGTGACTATTGCTTAGTTTCTTTTTCCCTGGCCCCTCTTCTATATTACATCATGGGGACCAAACTCATTTTTGAAATGCTGCTTTTTTCCAGTTACATTAAAACCCTGTCATTGTAGAACTATAAGGGATCCTAGAGGCCATTTAGTTCAACTTTTATGTACTAAGCATATGCCTATCAGATAACAACTTTAACAAGTTACGAAATTCTTATCATCTTGAATGCTTGCATGAGGAGGAAGCCTAGTGCTTCTTCATGATCTTTAAAAAAAATGTGAAGATAACATGCCTACATGACTAAAAAGAATTCAAACGGCACAAAAGAGAATATAGTATACTAGTTTTCTGTTGCTTCATAACAATTTGTCACAAATTTAGCTGCTGAAAACAGCTTCTGCTTGTTAGCTCACAATTCTGTAGGTCAAAGGTCAGGCATGGCCCATCTGCCTTCTCTGCTCTGGATTTCATGCTCAAGGAGTCAGTTGCGGATTCTTATCTGGAGGCTTTCCTTCCATACTCTTTCCAGTTGTTGGCAGACTTCAGTTCCCTGCTGGCTGGGGGTTGTCAGCTCCTAGAGACCACTCCGTTCTGAAAGCCAGCAAGGGAGAACTGGCAGGTGGAATTCCCTTCATGCTTCAGGTCTTTTCAGACAGGGAAGTGCCTAGGCCCTGTTATGGATTTACCTCATGGCTGGGCGTGATGGCTCACACCTGTAATCCTAGGTCTTTGGGAGGCCAAGGCGAGTGGATCACCTGAGGTCAAGAGTTTGAGACTAGCCTGGCCAACATGGTGAAACCTTGTCTTTACTAAAAATACAAAAATTAGTTGGGCATGGTGGTGAGCACCTGTAATCTCAGCTACTCGAGAGGCTGAGGCAAGAGAATCGCTTAAACACAGGAGGTGGAGGTTGCAGTGAGTCAAGACCACACATTGCACTCCAGTCTGGGCAACAGAGCAAAAACTCTGTCTCAAAAAAAAAAAAAGGATTTACCTCATTGGGGTGTCAGTCCCACCCAGGATAGTTTCCATTTCTAAGGTTGACTGGTTTGGACCTTAATCACATCTGTAAAATCTCTTCTCAGCGACACCTAGGTTAGCATTTGATTGAAATAAGTGGGAGAAAGTTCATGTGCACCAGGGGCGTCAGTGTTAGGGGTCGTCTCAGAATTCTGCCCGCTATATACAATAAAAAGCAATTCCCTCTCACCCCAACCTGTAAGTCCATTGCTAACTGGTAACCACTCTCAATAGTCTGTCATTACCCTTCGAGACATTTATATCGGTATTTATATATATATATAAGAATATATGATTATGTAAAAAATGCACATAATGCCTATTTTTAAAAACTCAAATCCCAGTAAATAAATCACTATTGGGATACCTAGCTAGTCATCCATGTTGTAACATGTATCAGTAGTTTAGTATACTACAATTTGTGTGTCTATTCACCATTTGTTGGATATTTGGAATGGTTCCAGTTTTTGATCATTGGGAATAAAACTGCTGTGAACATTGATACATAAGTTCTTGTGTGGATATATGTTTTTATCATTTTTGATACCTCCCAAGTGGGTTTTTTTTTTTTTTGGCTGTGTAGTAGTATGTGTTTAATTTCATAAGAAACTGCTTTCCAAAGTAAGTGTACCATTTTTCATTCAGACTAGCAGATTTATCAGCATTCCAGTTGTTCTTCATTCAGTGTTATCTTTTAGTTTTAATTTACATTTTCTTGATAACTAATTTCCTTTTTTTGGGTTTTGTTTGTTTGTTTGAGATGGAGTCTTGGTCTATCACCAGGCTGGAGTGCAATGGCACAATCTCAGCTCACTGCACCCTCTGCCTCCTGAGAATCAAGCGATTCTCCTGCCTCAGCCTCCCAAGTAGCTGGGATTACAGGTGCTCGTCACCACACCAGCTAATTTTTTGTATTTTTAGTAGAGACAGGGTTTCACCGTGTTAGCCAGGATGGTCTTGATTTCCTGACCTTGTGATCTGCCCATCTCGTCCTCCCAGTGAGCCACTGCACCTGGCCCTGATAATTAATTTTCTATATGTGCCATTGTCCTTTCATTTTCTCCTTTCCTACTTCCTTTTGGATTAATAGAGAATTTTTATAACTCCATTTCATTTCTGCTTTTGGCTGATTAGCTATACCTCTTTGGTTTTAATTTTTTTTTATAGTAATTGAACTAGGCTTTAACTTATCACACCCAACCGTCAATAATATAACACTTTAGCTTGGCGTGGTGGCTCACCCCTGTAATCCTAGCACTTTGAGAAGCTGAGGTGGGTGGATCTCCTGAGGTCAGGAGTTTGAGAAGAGCTTAGCCAACATGGTGAAACCCTGTCTCTACTAAACATTTATAAAAATTAAGACATTTATTAAAATTAGCCATGAGTGGCGGTGGGTGCCTGTTATCCCAGCTACTCAGGATACTGAGGCAGGAGTATCCCTTCAACCTGGGGGGCAGAGGTTGCAGTGAACCAAGATCATACCACTTCATTCCAGCCTGGGTGAAAGAGTGGAACTCAGTCTCAAAAAAAAAAAAGTTGTATATATATTTTATTCCTCTGGTCCCCCTCTTGTATTTTGTGTTTTTATACATTTTACTTGTGCATGTAACCTGTAATACATTGTTTTTGTTATTGCTTTAAACATTTATATTTTCAAGAAGTTAAAAAAGACTCTCTCACCTTGTGCTTACGTATTTACCTTTCTGATGATCTTCATTCCATTTTGTAGATCTGTTGACATTTTCCTTTCTCTTGAAGAACTTTTAACATTTCTTTTACTGTAGGCCAACTGGCAGTGGATTTTCTCAGATTTTGTTTGTCTGAAGATGTCTTCATTTTGCCTTCATTTTTGAAGGATGTTTTCACTGGCTGTAGAATTCTTGGTTGTCTTTTTTTTTTTCTTTTGGCATTTTATAGGTGTCATCGTTTTGTCTTACGGTTTGCATTGTTTCTTAAGTGAAATCTATAGTCACGTTCTATTTATTTTACTTGTGTGTAAAGTGTCTTTCCCACACCTGGTTGTGGCTAAAGTTCTCTTTTTGTTGTTTTATTGCCCAGACTGGAGTGCAGTGGCTCAATCTCAGCTCACTGCAAGGTCCACCTCTTGAGTTTAAGTGATCATCCCACCTCAGCCTCCTGAGTAGCTGGGATTATAAGTGCTACCACACCCAGCTAATTTTTTTTTTTTTGAGACAGAGTGTCGCTTTGTCACCTAGACTGGAGTGCAGTGGCCTGATCTTGGCCCACTGCAACCCTCTGCTTCCCGGGTTCAAGCAATTCTGTGCCTTGGCCTCCTGAGTAGCTGGGATTACAGACACACCCCACCACACCTGGCTAATTTTTGTATTTATAGTAGAGACGGGATTTCACCATCTTGGCCAGGCTTGTCTTGAACTCCTGACCTCATGATCCACCTGCCTTGGCCTCCCAAATGCTGGGATTACAGGCGCGAGCCACCACACCTGGCCTAATTTTTGTATTTTTAGTAGGGATGGAGTTTTGCCATGTTGGCCAGGCTGGTCTCAAACTCCTGACCTCAAGTGATCTGCCCACCTTGGCCTCCCAAAATGCTGGGGTTACAGGCATGAGCCACCGTGTGTGGCCTAAAGTTTTTATTATCTTTGTTTTTAAGCAGTTTGTTGTGGCGTCCTCAGATGTGGGTTCCTTTGGGTATTTCCTATTTGTAGTTTGCTGAAATTCTTGTATCTCTGAGTTCAAGTTTAGAAAATTAGAAAGTTTTCAGTCACTATTACTTAGATTTTCTTCCCTGCTCCTCCCTACCCTGACTTTGACCTTGTCTCCTGTTTCTCTAACTTTTCTTCTGGTATTCCAATTACTGGTATGTTAGATCATTTAATACTCTCCCACAAGTTTTTAAGGCTCTGTCATAGTTTTATCTTTTCTTTCTCTGCGAGATTTTTAGCTTGGATAATAACTATTGAACAAATCTTTCTTTCCTTATTTGATCTGCTGTTAATACTAAATACATTTTTTACTTCAGATGTTGCCTTTTTACATGCTAGAAATTTTGTTTGCTGCTTTTTGTTGTTGTGAGCTCTAAATCTTTCTGTAATTCCCCATCATGCCACCCATTATATCCATCTTTTTCCTGTAGATTATTTAGCTTATTTGTTAGCATTATTTAAAGTTCTTACCTGCTAATTAAACATCTGGTTCATTGTGGATCTCTTTCTGCTAACTTTTTTTCTTGACTATGTATCACATTTTTCTGTCATAATTTTTTAATTGTACGGTAAATACTGTAGAGATGCCAGATTCTGTTTTCTTCTGCAGAGTGTTTAGCTTTGTTCTAACAGGCAATTAAATTGCTGACTGATCACACTGGTCATTTATGTTGAGCCTTCTTATAGGCTTTGTTAAGGCAGGTCTGCTTCACCTGTGCTTTCAGTACTGGGAGCCTTTCTGATTGCTGGGTTATGGACCTTACTCCTAAAATGTGGTCCATCTAAGGTTTCAGTAGAAGGCCTAGGGTATTTACAGGAGACCCTTTAACTTACAGACTTAAAATTTAAGCTCTGTCCATCTCCCCAAGATGGCACTTGATAACTCTGCTTAGCTCCTCCCAATTCCCATTTTCCCCTTTCTGAGATCTTTTGTATTCCCTCTATATGTGTGGAGTTTGGCCATCATCCATGGATTTGAGGTGAATATGTTTGTAGATTTTGGACTCCCTTCTTTCTGGAATTCTCTCCCTCAATTTCCAACCAATCTGCCTGTCCCAGTCTCCAGCTGACAACTTAACTCATTAAGACTATAACTTCCCTCCTGAGTTCTAGGAAAAGCTAGATAAACTCATCTCATCTGGTAAGTTTCCTTCCCTCAAGTCTTATTTTGTCCAGTGTCTATCTGCCTTTGGTTACACTCTAGTGACTTAAAAGAGTTGCTTGTAATTGTTATCAGTAGGTGGGTAAATTTGACCTAAGTTACTCTCCCATTACTGGGAGCTGAACCTGTATCTGTACTTTTGTTTTGTACTTTTTTTTCACTTGACATTTTAATGTAAGAATTTTCTAAGTTATTGAAAATTGATCATAAACAAATGAACTTCAACTTTCCATTTTGTGAGTGAGTATGCTATAGTTGGATGTTTTCCTACTTTGAAAATTGAATGTTTTAAAGTATACATAGTGCTAAACTCTCATTGTATGAAGGGGATAAGAAATGTGTGTTTTGAGAATCTGGACACAGGTTTTTTTCCTGAAAATTTACTTAGTTGCTTGTATCTTAGGTAAGGTATAATGATTATAAAATTTTTCATTTCTTTGATATATTTACCTTTCAAGTGTGCCTACATCCTATTTAAGTCAAAGTTTTTTTAAATTATTATTATTGCTGTTGTTTTTGTTTTTGTTTTCCTTCAGAAAAGAGAAAACATTCGTTCCTTGACTATGTCTGGCCATGTTGGTTTTGAGAGTTTGCCTGATCAGCTGGTGAACAGATCCATTCAGCAAGGTTTCTGCTTTAATATTCTCTGCGTTGGTATGTGCCGTCTACACTTCTTCTAAGTTGTTTCTTCATATTCCTTGTGCTCACTTCATTCTTGTCATGAGCAGAACAATGCTTATGTTATTAATCTGAAATCATCCCAGGTGTTCTCCTCAGTTGTTTAGATTCTGTTAATTTTGTTTTTCTTAGCTTTAAACTTTTGGCTTGTTCTGTAAACATTTCAGTGTTGTTGTCAAGAGTTCTGAGTAGCTTAGACACTTGCTCTATGCTCTGCCAATAACTTGAGGGACCAGCATTAGCATGTATTTCTTTCATGCCCACCCTGGCCTTTGAAATATTTGGTGTCTTTGAAACCACTCTAGGTGTTTACAGTTGTATTTCTTCTGTCATTCATGCAGCCATAAAGATGTACCTTTGTTTGTTTCAGGGGAAACTGGAATTGGAAAATCAACACTGATTGACACATTGTTTAATACTAATTTTAAAGACCATGAATCCTCACATTTTTGCCCAAATGTTAAACTTAAAGCTCAGACATATGAACTCCAGGAAAGTAATGTTCGATTGAAATTGACCATTGTGAATACAGTGGGATTTGGTGACCAAATAAATAAAGAAGAGAGGTATGTGTTTTCTTCTTATAATAAAACAAGTTTTTCTTACTTCAAGACATTCGCCTTATAGCCCCATGATTTGATTTTCTCCTATGGTAATCTATACTTTTCCTTCCACACATTAATTTTTAAAAATAAAATAGTTAAGCAATATTTTGTTCTTATTAGCACATTGACGTTTTTCTATCCATCTGTCTAATTTATTTAGTGTAATTTGAATCACATTATTAAAATATGTGTTTCAGCAAAAGGAGCTTTAATTATTTCCTGACATACAAATTCAGTGTATATTAATTATACTAATTTTCAGGCAGGGCTTATCCCCTTGAAGAAAAAAAATACAAGACATATAATAGCAAATATATATATAATGGCTAAATGCGAGATGTGTGAATTTTTTATAAAATTCTAATCAAAATAGCCAGTTACATTATTAATCATTGCAGGAAAGTTTCAATAGTGAAATTTTAATTTATATTTTACCTTATGTCTCTATTTCTTGTTAATATTTCTCCTAAGATTATATAAAGATTGAGTAGAGATTCTATATCAAATTTAAACTATGAAAGGGGGAAAAGGATTGGTAAAGCAAACTTCTTGTTCATTTTCCTTTTTGAAATGTATTTCCATTTTTGTAATTTTTTCTTTCTTAAAAATAATTTCAACTTTTACTTTAGATTTGGGGTACATTTGCAGGTTTGTTACATGCATGTATTGTGTGATGCTGACGTTTGAGATACAAGTGATCTGATTACCCAGGTACTGACCATGGTACCAATAATTAGTTTTTTGGCCTTTACCCTGCTTCTCCCTTCCTATTCTAGTAGTCCCCATTTTCTGTTGTTGCTGTCTTTATAGCCATGTGTACCTAGTGTTTAGATTCCACTTACTTATAAGTGAGAACATACAGTATTCGGTTTTTTGTTCTTGCGTAAATATGTTTAGGATAATGACCTTCAGCTTCATCCATGTTGCTGCAAAAGACATGATTTTGGTTTTTTTTGTTTGTTTTTTTGAGATGGAGTCTAGCTCTGTCACCCAGGCTAGAGTGCAATGGCGCGGTTTTGGCTCACTGCAACCTCTGCCTCCTGGGTTCAAGTGATTCTCCTGCCTCAGCCTCCTGAGTAGCTGGGATTATAGGTGTATGCCACCACACCTGGCTAATTTTTGTATTTTTAGTAGAGATGGAGTTTCACCATGTTGGCCAGGCTGCTTTTTTTTTTTTTAATTTTGATATTTACTTTTTTCTAAAGAGATGGGGTCTCCCTATGTTGCCCAGGCGGGAGTGCAGTGGCTATTCACAGGTGCAGTCCCGCTACTGATCAGCATGGGAGTTTTGACCTGCTCCGTTTCCAACCTGGGCTGGTTCACCCCTGCTTAGGCAACCTGATGGTCTCCTGCTCCCAGGAGGTCACCATATTGATGCCGGACTTAGTGCGGATGCCTGATCGGCATAGTGCACTACAGCCCAGAACTCCTGGACTCAAGTGATCCTCTAGCCTCAGCCTTCCAAGTAGCTGGGACTACAGGCACGCGCTGCTGTGCCCAGCAGGCCAGGCTGCTCTTGAACTCCTGACCTCGTGATCTGCTTGCCTCAACCTTCCAAAGTACTGGGATTACAGGCATGAGCCATCGCACCCAGCCAATTTTGTTCTTTTTTATGGCTGTGTAGTATTCCATTGTATGTATGTACCACATTTTCTTTATCTAGTCCAGGATGATGGGCAGCTAGGTTGATTCCATGTCTTTGGTATTGTGAATAGTGCTATGATGAACATAGGAGCACCTGTGTCTTTTTGGTAGAACAATGTATTTTCTTTTGAATATATGCCAAGTTGGAATAGCTGAGTCGAATGGTAGTTCTATTTTAAGTTCTTTGAGAAATCTTCAGTGCTTTCCATAGTGGCTGAATTAATTTGTATTCCCGCCAATGGGGTATAAGCATTTCCTTTTCTCTACAGCCTCCGCAGTGTCTGTTGTTTTTTGACTTTTTAGTAATAGCTATTCTGACTGTTATAAAATGGTATCTCATTGTGGTTTTGATTTGCATTTCTCTAATGATTAATTATGTTGAGCATTTTTTCATGTTTGTTGGCTGCTTGTATGTCCATGTCTTTTGGTCGCTTTTTAATGGGGTTGTTTTTTCCTCATTTAATTGTTAGTTTCTTACAGATTCTAGATACTAGACCTTTTGTAAAAATTTCCTCCCATTCTGTAGCTTATCTGTTTACTCTGTTGATGGCTTGTTTTGCTACATAGAAGCTCTTTAGTTTAATTAGGTCCAGCTCCACATTTTTTGTTGTTGAATTTATGACTTAATCATAAATTCTTTTCCAAGGTCAATGTCCAGCATGATGTTTCCTAGGATTTCTTCCAGGATTCTTATTGTTTGACATATTACATTTAAGTCTTTAATCTGTCTTGAGTTAATTTTTGTTTATGGTAAAAGTAGTGGTCCAGTTTTATTCTTCTGCATATGGCTAGCCAGTTATCCTAGCACCATTTATTGAATAGGGAGTCCTTTCCCCATTGCTTTTTTTTGTCAGCTTTGTTGAAGATCAGATGGCTAGAGGTGTGCAGCTTTATTTCTGGGTTCTCTGTTCTATTCCATTGGTTTGTGTGCCTGTTTTTTACCACAACCATGCTGTTTTGGTTATTGTAGCCCTGTAGTATAGTTTGAAGTTAGGGTAATGTGATTCCTCAGAATTTGTTCTTTTGCTTAGTATTGCTTTGGTTATTCAGGCTCTTTTTTGTGTCGATATGAATTTTAGAATAGGTTTTTCTAATTCAGTGAAAAATGACATTGGTAGTTTGATAGAAATAGCATTGAGGCCAGTTGTGGTGGATTATGCCTGTAATCCTAGTAGTTTGGAAGGTCAAGGTAGGAGGATTGCTTGCTCAGGAGTGTGGGACTAGCCTGGGCAACATAGTGGGACCCCGTCTCTACAAAAAAAATGTAAAAAATTAGCCAGACATGTTGATGCTCACCTATAGTGCCAGCTACTTGGGAGGCTGAAGTGGGACTATCACTTGAGCCTGGGAAGTTGAAGCTGCAGTGAGCCGTGATCGTGCCACTGCCCTTCCAGCCTGGGTGACAGAGTGATACCTATCTCAAAAACGAAACAAAAAACAGCAATAGCATTGAGTCTGTAGATTGCTTTGGGCAGTATGGTCATTTTAACTATGTTGATTCTTCCAACCATATTGATTCCATGAGCATGAAATGTTTTTCAGTTTGTTGGTGTCATCTGTGATTCCTTTCAGCAGTCTTTTGTAGTTCTCCTTGCAGATATCTTTCACCTTCTTGGCTAGGTGTATTCCTAGATTTTTGTGTGAGTGTGTGTGTGAGAGAGAGAGTGTGTGTGCACGTATGTGTGCACGCATGCGTACGTTGTCTGTCTGTTGTACATGGCATTGTATTCTTTTTTTTTTTTTCTTATTATTTTATTGCATTTTAGGTTTTGGGGTACATGTGCAGAGCATGCAATACAGTTGCATAGGTACACACATGGCAGTGTGTTTTGTTTGCTTTCACCCCTTCACCCACATTTGGTGTTTCTCCCCAGGCTATCCCTCCCCACCTCCCCCTCCCACTGGCCCTCCCCTGCATTGTATTCTTGATTTGGCTCTCAGCTTGACCATTATTGGTATGCAGAAATGCTACTGATTTTTATACATTGATTTTGTACCTTGAAACTTCACTGAAGTTGTTTATCAGTTCAGGAGGCATTTGGTGGAGTCTTTTAGAGTTTTCTAGGTATGAAATTATATTGTCTGCAAAGAGATAATTGGACTTTTTCTTTTCCTATTGGGATGCCTTTTATTTCTGTCTATTGCCTGATTTCTCTGGCCAGGACTTCATGTGCTGTGTGAAATAGGAGTGGTGAGTATGGGCATTTTTATCCTGTTTCAGTTTTCCAGGGGAATGCTTTCAGCTTTTGCTCATTTTATAAGTTGTTTTTTTTTCTCATTAACTTATTTGTTGTATTGTTTGTGTTCTATTAATTACCCAAATAATACACAAATACGTTTCTGTGAAAATACCAAATACTACAGATCAGTTGGAATGCACTTTAGCCATTCCCTTGTGTTCAGTCCCATTTCTTCAGTTCTTTTTAAATAAGCTTTATTAATGTATAGTTTACATAGAATAAACTTTACTGATTTTTTTTTTTTAAGCGAGACAAGGTCTCACTCTATTGCCCAGGCTGGAGCGCAGTGGTACAGTCTCGACTCACTGCTACCTTCACCTCCTGGGTTCAGGTGATTCTCATGCCCCAGTCTCTCGAACAGCTGGGATTATAGGTGCCCACCATGACACCCTGCTAATTTTTATATTTTTGATAGAGACAGGGTTTCACCATGTTGGTCAGGGTGGTCTCGAACTCCTGACCTCAAGTGATCCACACGCCTTGGCCTCCCAATGTGCAGGGGTTACAGACATGAGCCACCGCTCTCGGCCTAACTTTACTGATTTTAAGTGTACATTCAAAATGAATTTTGAGAAGCATATAGTATGTTGTAACCACTAGCATGGCTCTAATATAGGAAATGGCCATGGTCATGGGTATTTTGCTGTCCTGCATGTACATACCAGTGCTTAGCAAGGGACTTGGGGGCTCTCTCCAGATGTGCAGTGCTTCCTGCCTGTGCAACTCTCTTCTGTTCCGACCCACAGATGTTGCTTTCGCCTCCTTGAACTCCTGTCTGAGTTTCCTCAGCTCAGTGAATGGCTAGACTCTGTGCTCACTTTATGCTGTGCCCAGGACACATGTCTCCAGTCAGAAAGCTGGGACATGGTAGGGTTCCCCTTATTTATTTCTCTTCTCAGTGGTCACAGTTTTATACCTTCCCAGTGTTTTAAAACCTTTTTTTTTTTTTTTTTTTTTCCATTTATTTTGTTCAGGTTTCTAGTTACTGAAGGTGAGAAGGTAAATCTGTTCTCAGTTCCTCCATCAGGACTGGAGACAGACTTTATTTTTCTTTCTTTCATTGTTAATGCTGGACTA